TAAGGAAGTAAGGGCAAGACCAATCATATTAAAGAATTTTACAACAATTGCAAAGCTGCTTTCTCTGCTGAACGCAGCCATTTGCCGCGCAGCATTTACTGATTAGTATGTTTTCCAGGAAAAAATCGTTGTAATGTCGACGTTACCAGCCACTCGAGATCTTAGCACAGAACTCGGTGGAAATTCTTTACCACCGGAACAAAATCGCAAAGTCGGACAACTAAAAGATTTGCTAGAACGAACATTGATGTTGGACGCAGGGAAGAGAATTACTGTGAATCACGCTCTGGCGCATCCCTTTATACAAGAAAAGATATAGGTAACCCTGTCTGGGGTCCTTTAGCTTCGAAAAATTCACTGACGCCACTTTGTAAAATTATGCCGTTAACAATCCTTTCTATTAATGTTAAACATGATAGAAGCGCGATGTCTCTTTCTCCCTCTCTATTTCTTTTATTCTTGTTTCTCCCTCCCCAAATACTCTTATTTTCACATATAGAATATCCGTATTTTTTCTTTTTGTTTAGCAGGAAGAGGCGGTACAAAAAAATGTAGGAATTTTGCAACAGAAGGAAAAATGTAGTTGTAATATGTTGCACAAAACTGTACCCATGAGCAATATTGTATGAATCCCAAGGTATTATTTAATTGCATGTAATCAATGTCAGATGGACAGAGTATAATATTTTTATACTCCATGTAATAACTGTGAATACAATAATGTGAATAAATTTCACCATTATATTATATATAATATAGATGGTGTTTTAATATAGATTAGTCCATGTTGTAACTCGTATCTGAAATAATTCGAGTTATAAATACCAATTTTTCTATTTAAAATATAACTTATCAATTTCCATAGTTACGTTATTTAGAAAGAAAAATCGAATTGAAAAACAACGACCGCCTCTTTCAGCATAAACTGATACCAGTTTCCCTTTTCCTATTCTCCTGCTTTGGAGAGCAAGACGTCCTTATGAATAGCATTTTTCGCAAAATGACTATAGATCGTGCGTCCTTGTGAAATTGTACGTTACGTATTCTCACCAAGCGAGAGAAAAAGGTTCGTATATATAAAAGAACTGTAATTCCCTTATGTGGATCACATATTGTTTGATCCATTTTAGAATATCCCATCAGCGAGCATACGTGCATATACAGCATTAGGAGCCTTAGTGGCAAAGAAATCTGTTCTAATTGGAAAATAAATTGTATAGTGAATAGGTCAGTTATATTGAAATAAAACAACACATGCTTAATACAATGAGAAGAATGACCTGCATTTTGTCTTTTCAATCTTAAATCATATGAATGAATATGTTCAGTTCAAGTATAATATTCTTATAATATTTTTCTCTCTTTTTCTACTTCTTTCTGCCTGTTTTTCCTTCATTTTTATCTTTGATTAAAGTGAAATTTAAAGAGCGTTCCAAGTTAGATATTTAATGAATCCCACTTTATGCAACGATAATACAAATAATAAAGACGTGCGCGTGCGTGCGCACGCACACACAAACACACACATATACACACGCACATCATGCATATACGTTTTATACATCGGCCGACATACATATATTTAATAGTAAATGCACATGCATAATCATGTATACAATGATGAAAAGAATAATATCTAACATTTCTACAACATGACATATATAATCAAACATATTTATATTAGTACTAAATAAAGATAAAAATGTACATATTTGTAGCATTATATATATATATATATACACACGATGAAAAATTTTAAGATAAAGGCAGTCATCAAGGTGTTATATATATATATATATATATATATATATATACAAAATGATAATTATTAAAACATTACTTGTTGCAATATGTGCTAAGAGTTTTATTACTGTAAGTGTAGCATTTCGATTTCTGATTTTTTATACTAATTACAATCTCTTAAAATCCATAATTCCAAACTTAAAAATTTGGTTATTTGAAAAATTAGAACTGAATATCGATGCTGTTGTGAATGGTTCACGGTGTGATCTTGAACGTGACAAGATTTTACGAGACTGCTTATGTTTCAGATGTGTCTTCGATTCAAACATCGTTAAGTGCGGCCGGATCTTTCAAGGGCTTTTAGCGCCGATCCCGTTACAAGGTATTCATGGGGGATTGCCTGGGATATTTAGCACAACTACTTTTCAATATATGTTCAGTACCGTTTAATGATGAGATTATGTCTTTTATTAATCTTTTAAATTTAAATTAACTAGTAGTTTTTTGAACATGGCCGGAGACACTACCGCATCTCCTGATAAGCTCTACGAAAATAATTTAAGTTTTGAAAATGTCTAACAAACTTTTCATGATAATATAGGCATTTTATTCGAGGCAAAATATAACAGAATTTTAAGTTTTATCTCTTATATATAACGTTTGAATATTTGCAAAATTAGGTCTTTTTGTTAAAGAAACTGAGAAGTAAAACATGACAAATAGATAATACATACACGTATTTTAGTTTCACGAAAAAAAAAGAATGAAATAAAATATCGATGAAATTAAACGATGAAAACAGCAAAAGATATATGTTCGATAAATTATGTTACGATTTTTTATATTAAACATAAAGGAAAAATCGGCAAATGTGAATTCCGCATAATAATTGAAACGTGATTAAAATAATACCATTGTTTTTAGGAATAAAAATATAAATAGTTTAAATTTTTTAGTCGCGCACGCGCCTACACACACACACACACACACACACACACACACACACACACACACACATTCAATTTAATTTACAATTAACACAGTGTACATTTAGTTATTTATTAATATCCTATATCGATATGAAGTCATAAGTAAAATAATCCTTGTGTTAAAGGAATACCTTCAGAAACATATGGCTACAAGATCTGGAGTATTGTTACTGAATATATTCCTAAATGTTGACTCATATATATCATACATATTCATTAACTTCAGACTCTTTAGGCTTATAGTTATGTTTCTGACGTGGTATTCCTCTAACAAATATTTTTCACAAATAATAAATATCTATTCATCGTCGATTATGAGCTGAGGATGACTCCAAGAAAAGTCGAAACATTCTATTAAACTATTTGCATTTTTACAAAAATAAATTAGAATAAAGGGCAACAGGAGTTGGGCGTATAAAACGTCGCGCAATTAAAAACGCTGCTACTATAAATGACAAAAATCATTTATTCGAATAATTATCTTTTATTATGATAGTGCTTTTACATGTTTCAAATAAATTTTTAGCCCTCTTCAGAGAAACAAACTAATTTACATATTCAATACAATTTTTTAATCAATGAGCCTCCACGTCGTGGTAATTAAGGTACAGAATAAATAAAATTAAAGATAAACAAAACTAAATGAATGAAAAAAAATAGAAAAATTGAAAATATCAGAAATAATAAATTGTGAAAACTAATTTCCAAATAACTAAGATTATAATAAATCATCCCGAGAATAAAGGAACTCACCACGATTACAAAGTACCGTATCGCAAACAGTAGTAATATTAAAAACCAGTTCTCTTAATATGCTGATCAGTCATCAAAACAGAAAGTCAATTAATCAAATTTGGTCAAAGGTATAGAATGAATGAAAGCAGACAATCCACAAAAATTGCATTTTTACTTTAAAAAGATATAATTTTAATCGCGTTTTTATTATCGTATTAAACTTACATTTGCCGTTTTCTTTTTTTAAGAAATGTTTCACGGGAATGTTTCAATACAGAAGTAAAAATATACTATGAAACTATGATTAAAGAGAATATATGTATTGTTCTAATTGGCAATTTGGTAATGTTTCACTTGTAGCCCTCCCTGTAAGGAGGGGAGGCAATGGAAGAGATGAAAACAATTGATGAGGAAAGGAAAAATGCGATGTACTTGTGCCTACTGTCGTTTCTACTGTGTAAAAGTACATGCACTGTCACTAAAGTTCAACAAAAGGTTTATACAAGGTTTAACTAGATTTATATCCGCGCGCTAAGGTTTCTCTTAAAGTTACTTGAGATTACAATTGAGGACTCGTAAGTATGTATACAGGTAAAGTACATGATTTTGAAATTTTCATGTGATTTTTACAATGAATATAAACAATATGTTTGTACTGTTTTCTTTCAAAAGTTATTGTAACCGGAAATTAAACTGTTCAGTTGTGCTAAAATTAAAATTTTATATAATACTAATATATTTGTGGTTTTCTTGAGTTTTTCGATACTTAAAGCTTACATTCGATGAACATGAAATAGCAAAAATGTTTAAACTACATTATTTTCGAAATTCACTCCCCTCTCATTTACTCACTCACATTATGTCTTTAGATATTCAGAAAATATATAAAAATATTTTAATTATGTAAATAAAATCTAATAAATTCATAAAAATGTTTTTTTTTATAATAAAATTGTTTTTTTCTCGATTTTAGAAGATATATTCTTTGCTTGGGAAACAAGAGGTTCATGATGTAAGATATCAAGTAATAAACTATATATTAATTTATTGAAAAATATACAAAACATAGAAAATTAATAGTGATTCTATCATACATTAATTATTAATACATTTTTAGAATTTTTCTTGAAAATCATTTTATTATGTAATTACCTGTATATAATATTCTACATACATACACAATATATCACGAAATGAGACCAATAAAAGTAATACCATTTTAAGCCTCTTTAAAAAAAATGTTATATTATTTTTATATAATTAATAATCAAATCGGTTTTATTTTTTTCATTTATATAATAATGCATGTATCAATACAGTTGGCTGTATAAGTTAATAAGTTTATCAATTTTTTTCTTAAAATATATTATACAATTTAAATATTTTAAAGAGATTAATAATTTCATTAATATATTTTTGAAATATAAAAATTCCAACAATATATATATATATATATATAATACATATTCTACAGTTACTTCAAATTTACATTTTTTTCTTTTAGGTATAATATTTGTATTATTTTTAGTGTCTAATCCGATATTCGTACAATGATTTTTCTTCATCTTCCATATGAAGTTTTTAAGCTTCTTAATCTCGTTCTGGATAATACTGGACTAATATTTTGGAAAGTTGTCGAGCTAATTCCATCGATGATGCGCATAATGTTCTTCTGCTCATCACGTCAAATGGGCCTCCTTTTAACGCGTAAAAATAAAATGAATTGATTTTGCGTTATTTTAGCATTTATTTCCATCTCATACTGTATCTCTTATTATCTTATTTAACTGTAACTGATATTTAATGTTTGTAATTATTTACCAGCTGGATCTATTGACACACCGCCAGCTTCTCGAACAATAAGATCTCCGGCCGCAATATCCCACGCATGTATACCGAATTCAAAAGAAGCGTCAGCACCACCAAGAGCCACCATGCACATATTCAGAGCTGCCGCACCAAATGATCGTATTCTGTAGGATAAGTAAATAAATAAATCTCTTTGTATACACAAAATTAGAAATTGTATCCTGTAAATGTGTCTTACCCGTGTACGTATGTTGTAAGGATCGTTATATTTTGTAGAACTACTTCTAATTTTTCTCGATTTCTACTGGTCCCCATTTCTACCATTATTAATGCCTTACGCAATTCTGAAGTAATGACAGAGTTAATTAAATTTAACAAAATAATTAGAACTGTCGATTTATATATTAAAATTATATATATTAGTTTTATAAATATTAAAATTTTTCTACCAAAATTTTAAGTAAACGAAGGATAATCTTTTCGATGCTAATTATTGTATCACAAGATTCCAGTTTAGTCTTTGTTAATCGTTTGAAAATGTTTGTTTTAATAAGTCACACTATACAGGGTATCCTGTATCATTTCATTAATATTTTAGAGAGTGAAAGAGGAACTAATTTCTTCACAACTTTTAGCTCAGATCATTATTATTTACCAAATTATTGACGATTAAAATTGATCAGAGAGCAACACAAAGCTGGTATATGCAGGAGTGTAGTATCTATCATGGTACTTCTCGCGCTATCTATAGGCCTCTGTACACGGTCAGTAATACTGTCAGTATCAACGAATACTGACAATATTATTGATTGTGTGTGGTTAATATTAATGGATTGACGTAGAATACTGACGATTATTTGGACTTAAAATACATGCTTTTTCCTTAAGATCCATGTCGCCATAGATAATAATATACGTCAAATCACGTCAAACTGAAGTGAAACATTATCAATAATACCTGATCGTATAAGATTATAAAAACTAATGTATACTGTCAGTAATACTGACCTCAGTATTATTGACCGTATAGGGAGGCCTTATGCATTCTCCCAATTATAAATTTATTCTAATTTTTCATATAAATTAATAAGTAAATCAATAAAAGGATGGATCTATATATAAATAAATAAAGAGAGGGGATCGAAAGAAGGAATAAGTAGAGTCCCTGTAAGAGAGTTGTGTCAATTTTGTATAAATTTTCATTGGCTTTGAAGTAAAATGGCGGAACCAATCATCGATGCTGTTATATCTCCACTTTTGAGTAATGTGAACGCGGTGGTTTAGATTTTAAAAGTTGTAAGAGTACAATTTACGTTAAATTATATAATATTGACAAGTAGACAAAGTTAGAACGTCACTTTCGACCACATAATATCTGTATCTTTTATATATTTTTAATTCGAAAGCTTTATAATAATGTATAGACTGAGGGTGATTTTACATGCAGCGCGGAACGCGGTACGCGGTAGGCAGTAAAGTAACTAGGAACCGCGCGCGGTAAGCCGCGCTAATTTTCTCCTATTATTACATGGAGCCAAAACTGCGCGGAAAAGCGGCACGGACTAGTGACAAGTTGACGTTACTATGCACTTTTTAATGAAATTAATAGATTTAAATGCAATTATTAAGCAGATTCGTTGAAAAAATAAGATTATTGATAAAATGTGCATAGAAATAAGTTAATACATTTAAGAAAATGCATACAAATGTGACCTTGTCATGCTATACCGTGCCGCCTTTCCGCGTTCCATGTAATAGTAGGAAAAAAGAAAGGCGGAACGATAACGACATGGTCGGCATCGGCTCGGTCAGCTGGGTGCATAATTAGAAATTAACACAGGTATATACTGTGTATACTGCCAAGTAAAGAGAAATAATTTCGGAGTTCGGAGTTTGGTAGGAAAAAAAAACGATTTTTGCATTAATTAAAGACTGTTTTTGTCATGGAGACTGCAGATATGATGTTGATGGCCATGATAACATTATTAAATCGATTAAATCTAATAATTACCATGCGCTTTATTGGCCACTTGGAAGAAATTTGCGTTAACTTTTCAGGTTAATTACCTTATAGTTACTTCACCGCGTACCGCGTTCCGCGCTGCATGTAAAATCACCCTTAAGGTGCGATTACGATAAAGATAAGTTAATATATTTAAAAAAATTCATACTAATGTGAGTTTATCACTAGCCCGTGCCGCAAACCGCGCTCCATGTAATACCAGGGAAAAGAAATAGGCGGTACGCGGTTAACTAACTAGGCAGCTAGAGAACCGAGAACCGCGTACCGCGCTCCATGTAATCGCACCCTTACTTATAATTTTGATATTGTAAGAGCTGGATCGAGAAAAATATCGAGACTCCACCGGTGCCGGGATTTAAACCGAGGCCTCGTTGCCGTTCGTATTAGCAAGCTTTCGTCTTGCCTGCCACCATGACTTTACGCTCTTCGTAGTATAAGGTCTAGCGTCCCTTTCTGCTAGAGTCCCAATTAGACGCCATTTTACTTCAGATTGACACAACTCTCTTATAGGGACTCTAGGAATAAGGAACTGAAAGAGCCTCAGTTCTGAATGGTTCTGAAGAACTATTCGATCGCGGCGGACGCGTTTCGGATCGGGTGCTCATAATCTAATATTTTTGGAAGTGTTGCCGACTTTGTGCAATTGCTATTAAAAGGGAGGCAGGATTATTATCTAGAAGAAGAAGAAAGAGCAATCCTTGGCATGGGGGAGCCTTTAACCTTATCAGTCAATTCTTTGTTTGATTCCAAAGTGATCTGGGGGTCTATTCTTGAAAAGAAACGTATACGAAAGTCTAAGGAAATACTACAGTATACGTTACGTATACTATAGTATTTTCCTAGTTTTTCTTTTCAGGAATAGAGCCCCAAGCTTGTAATATACAATAACGAGCACCCGATCCGAAACGCATCCGTTATGGTCGAGTGGTTCTTCAGAACTGCGTTGTACTTTCAACTATATAATCCCATGGACAGCGCAGCACTGTGGCGAGGCGCTATAACACGCACATACGCACGCACACAAAAGCATGAGCCCATGTATGTATGCTCGCTTTCGGCCCGAAAATGAGTATACGGACATCAGCTCGTACTTGTGTGACTATCAGGGCCTCTTTCACCAACGCCGATTAACTTAATCGACGATTAGTCCATTGGAATTGACCAATCGCGTCTGTCGTCAAAACTAAATGATAAATGCGATTGGTCAATTCCAATGGACTAATCGTCGATTAACTTAATCGGCGTTGGTGAAAGAGGCCCTCAGTCTTGCCAGGCCGTCGACTAATTCAGTGTTGCCACCATCAATACGAAGTTCTTGGCTGAGTACTCAGTAGCTTCAAATTGCATTATATTATGAAAAGATACGACACCCTGTATATAATTGAGTTTATAATTAAAGTATATAAACAAAATATTTTAATAAATATTTTGAGTAAATATATAAATGCTTATCTATAAAGGTCTACCAGAAGGATTTAATCACAGACATCTATACTATACTAGACCGTTTATAGCCTCGACTCCCTAGATGTCCCGGAATATTATGTACAAATTACACATGACATAGAACCCGATTGGAATATGTCGTCTGCTCTACGTAATCCGTGATAGCAGCTAAGTGTTTCAATATATATATGTATGTTTAGTATTTTAAACTGTATAGAAAAGTCATAAATGTTATCAATTATACAATAATTAATGGTCTATAGGAGTGAAAGCATACTATTATTAATTATAAGTACAGTTCGCGAGAAAGAGAGCAAACCAGCTGCACCAATGTGCACTTTTATGATATGCGTTCGGGTATCTTCTTCAATATATTAGAATAATAAAAGCATAATATTAATAAAAGAAAGCTTACAAATTTTTTAAAAAGAGAAGAGCTACAATTTTTTAAAATAAATTATAGGTTAGATTACGCTACGTACGTCTCGCTAAGTTTACTATCAATAATAATATATATTAAATAAAAAATATACTTTCATATCTATATCATTATTATTAATAAATTAATTTACGTAATTACCAAGAATTAAAAGTATATTAATATTTTTTTCATTAATCGGGAGAAGATCATATACTTATATTGGAGGTTTTACTGAACTAAACCACAAAGGCACAGACAAACCTCATATATACATTCACATACACACATGGCAACACATATATAGCCACATTTCTGTTATAAGTCATAGGCGGAGGATTCAATTTTAGGATTGAATTTTATCAAACTGCATTCCAATCGGGTCCTAAGTCCGCCGCCAATGCACTATTTAGTACATAAGTTTTGGGTACAACAAATCTAGGGAATATATAAGGAGGCTTGCGGTCTAGTATAGTATAGATGTTTGTGGATTTAATATATAATTCTATCGGTACTTTTTATTTCTAATTAAAAATATAAATTAATTTACCCTTTTCATTGGATACGTGAATCGGGGCACCATTGAGAAAAGCGCCCTGACCTTTGCGAGCAGTAAAAAGTTGCTCCAAGATTGGATTATACACTATTCCTATTTCCGTTATTTTATTAATAAGCAGTGCAACCGAGATGCATGTGTATGGTAAACCATGAACGAAATTCATCGTGCCATCAATAGGATCAATTATCCATGTTGGAGCATCCGTTAATTCTATTTTTTGTCCCGAAGAAGTGCTTTCTTCGCCAATAAACCTGTTGTAAAATACATATTTACTTTAGAACAGAGTGTAGACAATAAAATTACATCCTCGTTCGAGCTTTAATATTGTTGAAACAAAGTAAATTTTGCATTTAATTTCTTCTGAAGGTATTTTCAATATTTTTTTGCTATTATAAAATATTTCTTATACATATTGCATTATGTTATTTTTGCCTTACCTGTGGTCAGGATATTTGGATGATATTCCATCGATTAAAAGTTTTTCCACTTTTTGATCCCACTCCGTAACCAAGTCAACATCGCATGATTTTGTAAGTACATCTTTACGTTGATAAATTTTTTCCCTAACAATCTGCAGGTAAAACATACAAAGCACAATTAAATTTTTTTACAGACAGTGCAGCAGTATCAAGGAAAAACTGGATACTTTAGTAAGCATAGTATAATTAATTTATTATCTTCAAAGTCAGACGACTATTAGTTACTTGAAAAGGAAATGTTATTATTACGAAAAACGTAATTATGATAGGAACATAATTTATTTTCCCCCGTCTTTATCTCTTAAAAACAAGTAAATATGATAATAAAATCGGTCGATGACGGTCAAGCAGGATTTTGGTTGCTAATGTAATGTGTGAATTTTATTTACCACGTATGTAGTCTTCAATCGCGTGCCGAAATTTTTTCAGACTTACAACGTAACTCTAATCAACTACCGTAGTAATATCACTTTAGTTAAATTGACACAAGCAATCTAACAAATTTTTGATGCTTATAGCATCTTATTGGATCTTAATAAAGACATTAAAATTTAACGATGCAATGTTAAATTAATGATAAATTAAAATCTGTGAAAAATAAGATTGCGTGGTAAATAAAATTCACACATTACATTAGCAACCAAAATCCTGCTTGATCGTCATCGGCCGATTTTATTATCATATTTACTTGTTTTCAATATCGACGGGGTCCTACACAAATCTTAATTTTATCTCTTAAATTTGTATTCTGTCATATTCTCCTTTTTGCATACACACTGTTTAAGAATCGTCACGCGCGTTACGTCTTTTGTTTTTACATTTTTCATGTTTATGGTAAGTACTTGGATTTATTTCGACAAATGGATTAACTTTAATCAACGATTAACTCGATCGAATCACTTAGGCCCAATTTCACAACTCACAATTAACTTTTAATCGAGGTTTAACTTATTTCTCATTTCTTTCTAATTAGAATTGTGGAAAGAAATGAGAAATATGTTGAAGCTCAATTAGGAATTAATCGTGAGTTATGAAACTGGACCTTAAAATAATAACGTCTCTAACATACAATTAATCTTTTTTTTATATATATTAGATACAATTCTATTAATTTACAATATTTAATTCTACTAAAGACCGTTAATGTAAGAATGTAACTAATACTAATACGAAGCCTATAACAACAGTCTAGCTTGGATCTTTTAATTGCTTACATATAATTTTGCGTAAATTTATATACTAATACACGTAATCCCCCCCAAACTGCGCGCCGAATTTGAAACATCGGTCTTGAAACGCAAATCTAATAAACTGCTGCGGTACTATCACGAAATAATACTCTTTTGGCATCTTATATATATATATATCGATGTTAAACTATATTAAAATCTGAAAATACTAAATCTGGAAATATTCTTCTTATTGCGAAAAATATTACCTCGACCGGGAGTCGAACCTGGAAACCTTTCTTTACGTGCAAGTGTCCTAGCTAATTAGACTACTGAGGTTATTAATTTAATAGTTTTATTCATATATATATGCTTAATAAGATAGTGCTGATGTGTTAATAGAGTTGATCGAGAAATGATCCTTATGCTATATATGCCATGATAACATGAGCGATCTCGTGAATTTACAAGTTTTTTATGGCATTTTATTACATTTTATTGCATAGACATTAAAATCGTGAAAATTATGCTATGGTGAAATTAAATTCTACCATTGGTCAGGCAGGTCAAATATTGCTGTGTGGCGCGAATTAAAACAATTACGAATATCCTGCAATTAAAGTATCTTAATATTTGATAAATTTTATCGGCATTACTACGTTTTTACTAGATATCAGAGATACTTGTACAATTCATAACCATTTAACTTACCGAACCAGCTTGCTTTACAAGTCGCAAAATCTCTATGTAATACTCGTCGATATTTGACATGATGATGTAACGTAGAAACACTATCGAAAACTTTTTTTACGCATCACAAATAATTGTAAATTCACTAATTAAATTTATTCGTCTGTTACCACCGATTAGGCGATCGTTATTTACTACTGTCTGCCACTTCTTCTTCTTCTTCTTTTTCTTCGACTATAAATGGCCTGGACCCTCGTTTACGAGGTAAACTTGGCCAGTCGTACTAGACACAGTCAAAACACTTTCCAAAAATATGATGCAACCGCAAAAATGGCGTAGCCCGATCGAACATCGAGCACCTGCGTCTACGACGTCGTAATCACGCGCATTAAGGTGCTTTTTCATGCGCAGCACGCTGCAGCAGCAATTCGTTACTATTGGTTAAGAATTTTAAGGTACTTTTTCATGCGCAGCACGCTGCAGCAGCAATTCGTTACTATTGGTTAAGAATTTTATGTAAGCTAGATGACGCACTTCCGGCGCAAAATACATTTTGCCGCAGTTCGTTGAAGTCGAACCGAACGAATAGCAAGCAGCAAGCGGCAAAATCGAGAAAGCGTACAATATGTCCGTCGTTTCATTATGAAAATATTATTTATTGCAATAAATATTAGGAAAATAAACGAAAAATGGCTTCGGATAAGGTACGGATACATGTTTGTAAATTAGATCATTTTATACTTTACCACAAATTTGAAAAAGTAAAGTGTAAAGTATAAAATAATCTAATTTACAAACATTCGTACCTTATCCGAAGCCATTCTTCGTTTATTTTCCTAATATTTATTGCAATAAATAATATTGCCTCGATTTTGCCGCTTGCTGCTTGCTGTTCGTTCGGTTCAACTTCAACGAACTGCGGCAAAATGTATTTTGCGCCGGAAGTGCGTCATCTAGCTTACATAAAATTCTTATCCAATAGTAACGAATTGCTGCTGCAGCGTGCTGCGCATGAAAAAGTACTATTGTAAATTCACTAATTAAATTTATTCGTCTGTTACCACCGATTAGGCGATCGTTATTTACTACTGTCTGCCACTTCTTCTTCTTCTTCTTTTTCTTCGACTATAAATGGCCTGGACCCTCGTTTACGAGGTAAACTTGGCCAGTCGTACTAGACACAGTCAAAACCGGTAACACTTTCCAAAAATATGATGCAACCGCAAAAATGGCGTAGCCCGATCGAACATCGAGCACCTGCGTCTACGACGTCGTAATCACGCGCATTAAGGTGCTTTTTCATGCGCAGCACGCTGCAGCAGCAATTCGTTACTATTGGTTAAGAATTTTAAGGTACTTTTTCATGCGCAGCACGCTGCAGCAGCAATTCGTTACTATTGGTTAAGAATTTTATGTAAGCTAGATGACGCACTTCCGGCGCAAAATACATTTTGCCGCAGTTCGTTGAAGTCGAACCGAACGAATAGCAAGCAGCAAGCGGCAAAATCGAGAAAGCGTACAATATGTCCGTCGTTTCATTATGAAAATATTATTTATTGCAATAAATATTAGGAAAATAAACGAAAAATGGCTTCGGATAAGGTACGGATACATGTTTGTAAATTAGATCATTTTATACTTTACCACAAATTTGAAAAAGTAAAGTGTAAAGTATAAAATAATCTAATTTACAAACATTCGTACCTTATCCGAAGCCATTCTTCGTTTATTTTCCTAATATTTATTGCAATAAATAATATTGCCTCGATTTTGCCGTTTGCTGCTTGCTGTTCGTTCGGTTCAACTTCAACGAACTGCGGCAAAATGTATTTTGCGCCGGAAGTGCGTCATCTAGCTTACATAAAATTCTTATCCAATAGTAACGAATTGCTGCTGCAGCGTGCTGCGCATGAAAAAGTACCTTTAGGGTGCAAACCCATGCAGCGGAATAGCGTAACGCGGAACGAGAGTAGAACCAATCACGAGATTCTCTAGAAACACGGAATGCTCGTTATTGGTTCTGTTCTCGTTCCGCGTACGCTATTCCGCTGCATGGGTTTGCACCCTTAGGGTGGGTTCACACTTTGACGGAAAAACGGAAAGCGGAAGAGCAGTTAACCGATCAGAACTCACGCTAGTAGTAAATAGTACAAAACTAACAGAAAGTCGACTACCTGATTAGCTACTGCTTTTCCGCTTTCCGTTTTTCCGTCAAGGTGTGAACCCGCCCTTAGGGCTACGTTCCGTTTCAGACATATGCGCGCATTTTATATAGTAAACGTCACGTATACTATAGGGGAATGCGCGCATATGCGTGAAACGGAACGCAGCCTAGGACGAATGAATGAGTCGAACCAGTTCGCGGACGCGCGAACATCAGGAAAAAGATATGCCCAGTCAAAGTCGACAACACTTTCAAAAATATTTGATTAAAAACACTCAATCGCGTCCGCCACAGTCGAGTGGTTCTTTAGAACTTACCATGCAGTCAGTGTTGCCGCAGGTCGAAAAATAAATTCACTAAATGGGAGCCTGAAAAGTTACTAAAATTTCTGAAAAATCACCAAATGTGTGAACGACCAAAAAAAAGGTTTTTACAGACTTTCAAATCGTGACGGGAATGTGCCACGTCTCAAATAATTTGTGAAAACCACATTTGCCATATATAATATTCAAATATATTTATGCTCGCATACGTTATAAAATTACTATAAAAAAGATACACTTTAAAAAAAAAAATAAACTTGTTACGCATTAACCATTACATTCTTTGTAAAGCCTTGTGTCCACGATACTAGAAATCGGTCCGAGATCTCGGATGAAGGAAACATTGACCAATTACATTGGTCATATGACCAAATTGTTCAAATGCTGGAATGTGAGAGGAATAAATTAATATTCCTACTGTCTTTTCGCTTATTTTACAGTTTATTTACACAAATATACACAAATATACATATATTTCGCGTACGAAATGATGCCGTGTGAACGAAACGCGGAAGGAACTCAGAGACAGCGAACTGAACTCGAAAACCCAGATAAGCACGCTAAAGCTTACGACGAACGACTCGGATCTCGAAAGACAAGCGAAACGTGGCACGATCACCGGACGACTGACTTTTTCCTCGACAGAACGCAGTTCCCCACTAATTGGGGAGCTCTTTGATTGGCGTTCTGTACACGTGACGCGCGCGTGTAACTGCGTTCTTTGATGCAACAGGTCGAAGGGATCGCTCGATCCGCGCGGACTCGAGCGTCCCTTCCTCCAAACCTTGTCTTTTGAGATGCCGACACCGAACTTCCGTTGCCATGCAGCGCGAGAACTGTATGTGTATACGTATATACACACGATCGTAATGACGATGTCGTGCACGACTTTATTATTGTCTCTCTATGTAACATGCTCCCCCCGTTGAGAGGGTAGTGAACAACTATCATATCGTTAATAATTTTAACGCATAGCTCGACTATAATAATACAGTTTAAACATTAGTGACCTTTTGTTTCGCATCGACCTGTGACAATGCTTGGGGCGAACTCTGAATTTGTCGATGATGCTTGGAGCGGTCATCGTGGTGTTTGGCGAACCAAACTGTTTTGAAATATATATGTAGCGAACTACATAGAATACGCAATCTATATTTTTATGAAATGGCAGGTAAGGGACATAAGGATTTGGCAGCTCTTTTCAGCTGTCCAGTTGCCGTCTTAATGGTGGCGGCTCGAGTTATTCCATCCTTGCCGGGATGGATCTCGCACACTCTGCCTAATATCCATTTGTTGCATGGTAACTGCTTGTCCTTGACGATTACAATTGTGCCCACTTCGAGCCTTGGTCCATCCTTGCACCATTTGTTGCGGATTTGTAATTCGTTTAAGTATTCGAGGTTCCAGCGTGACCAGAAGTCTTGGCGGACCTTCGATATGTGTTGCCATGTAGACAAGCGGTTAGCTGGAACAGATGTTACATTACCCTCCGGGAGGGTTAAAGGATTGTTAATGGTTTATCAATTAAAAAATGAGCAGGGGTTAAAGCAATCGTATCGTTTGGATCTGAGGACAATGAAGTAATTGGTCTCGAGTTGAGGATGCCTTCGACTTCGATCGCGAAGGTGTTAAACTCCTCGAATGTGAACAAAGTGTCGCCAACGACTCGTTTTAGATGGTGTTTGAAGAGCTTGACCATCGACTCCCACATTCCACCGAAATGCGGAGCTCCTGGTGGGATGAAATGCCACGTAATTCTATGATCGCTCGCAAACTTATCTGTAAGGCGCCTGTGATTCTCGGAATTCAATAATGCGTAAACTTCCTTTAATTGAGAATTCGCACCCACGAAATTGGTTCCGTTGTCGGAATAAATATGAGCTGGTATTCCTCGCCTGGCCACAAGTCGTCGCAGTGCCGCAAGAAATCCATCAGACGATAAATCGCTTACGACCTCGAGATGTACGGCCTTAACAGACAGGCATACGAAAACGCAAATATACACCTTCACTCGATTGCGATTGCGATGTTTCTTTTCCTTGATGAAGAATGGTCCGCAAAAATCGATGCCAGTGTGAGTGAACGGAATTGCCGCATTTACGCGAGCAGGTGGCAAGTTTCCCATCTTGTGTTTAACACCGCTGGCGTTAAATCGAAAACAGCGCGTGCAAGCTCGTATTATTTTCCGAACTTGGTTTCGACCATCGAGCAGCCAAAACTTCTGACGCATAACGTATAAGGTGGTTTGTATGCCCGCGTGGTGATGTCTTTGATGAGTTTCGCGGATAATAGAGTCAGTCAATTGATGTCGACTCGGCAACAGTATGGGATGTTTCTGAGAATGTGTTAAATTCGACGACTGCAGGCGTCCGCCAACGCGTAATAGGTCGTTCTCGTCCACGAATGGATTTAAATTTGTAAATTTGCATTTACTTGTTGATCCTTTAATTTTGAGTTCTTTGATTTCGTCGGAAAACCGAGTTGCTTGAAGAAGTTTTAATATTCGAATCTCGGCCTCGTGAATCTCCTTCGCACACAGTGAGCCGAAATAATTGTTGGCAGAGCGCAAACGTAAGCAATATGCGACGATTCTACACAGCTTGGAATAGGAAGAGAACTTGTCGACTATGTTAAAATCGTTCATGGTAGTCGTCAAACAGATATTTTTCTTTAAATCCGGAACTTCGACTAAACGGGCGATTTCGTTGGGCCACTGATCCTCTTCTAAAGTCAACCACGATGGACCTCCGGGCCACATACGATTTTGGATAAAGGCGTGAGGAAGTTGCCCTCTCGATACCGCGTCTGCAGGATTATCCTCGGATCTAACGTGTCGCCATTCGTGAGTACCCACAATTTCTTGGATTTCCGCAATCCGATTTGCTACGTAGGTCTTGAGGAGATGGGGTGATGTTTTGATCCAATGCAACGCGATGGTGGAATCGCACCAGAAAATCGTCTTGCTAGGAGAAATGTTTAGCGCGTTACGGATCTCCTTATATAATCGTGCTAGCAATAAAGCTCCGCACAGCTCGAGCCGAGGAACTGTGATTGTTTTCAAAGGAGCGAGTCGGGATTTGGCGGATATTAGTCTAACTGACACGTTACGTTTTCTCTTGGAACGAATATACCAACACGCCCCGTAACCGACAGTACTTGCATCGCAAAATCCGTGCATCTGAACATCAGATGCGCTTTCGATGAACAATTGGCGATCAAATGAGATGCGGTTTACAATTTCTAACTGACGCGCAAATTCCAACCAATCCGTGTATATGTCTTGCGAAATAGACTCGTCCCAATGTAAGTCGCACTGCCATACCCTTTGCATCAATCTTTTAGCATATAGCACAATGGGACTCAACAAACCTAAAGGATCGTAAATCTTCGCGACATCTGAGAGCAGATTTCGTTTGGTAATTCTTTCGGTAATTTTAATGGGATTTGTCAGATAATGTATTTTATCGTCGCTCGTGCTCCACATGATACCCAAAGTCTTTAAAGCGCGATCCTCCTTGAAAACAAGGTTTGCGTGTAACGCGCTAGTCGCCAAGTCGTCAACTACACACCTGTCATTAGACGCCCACTGCCTTATAGAAAATTTCCCGCGAGCTAATAATGCTATGATGTCGTCTCTAATCATTCGGGCTTCGAGGATTGTATTAGCCCCCGTTAATAAGTCGTCGACATACAAATGTGATTTGAGTACTTGAGCCGCTTGGGGAAAGGCGTGGCCTTCATCATCGGCGAGTTTCTGAAGCACGCGCGTCGCGAGAAACGGTGAGGAGGAAATTCCGAATGGGAGTTTGTTAATTTGAAACGTTTCCACGCCGTTTTCTCTGCGCCAAAGAAAACGCTGAAATTGACGATCCTCCGCGTGAACTAAGACTTGCAAATACATTTTCTCGATGTCCGCAGTGATCACGTATCTGTAAGTGCGGAATCGAATGAGATGTGAAAATAGTTTATCCTGAATTGTGGGCCCCACCATCAATAAATCGTTTAAGGATAATCCGTTACTGGATTTTGCCGACGCGTCGAATACCACCCGCAACTTCGTAGTATTACTTGAATCCTTGATTACTGCGTGATGTGGCATGTAATAGCCATTGTCGCGAGGATTCTCAATTAAAGATGCGTGCCCACGTACCAAGTATTCATTTATAGCTTGCTCGTACTGAGCTCGCAATTCGAGATTCGCATTAAGTCTACGTTCCAACGACATTAAACGCTTGAGCGCTAAAGAACGAGATTCGCCGATAAATACATTTGAATTCCGAAACGGTAACCGAACAGTATAACACCCGTCGTTATCGCGAGAAACGGTTTTCTCGAAATGAGCTTCGCATTCGGTCTCTTCCTTCGATTTCGGCGCGTGTTCTGCGAGCTCCTCAACTGTCCAGAATTTCGCTACTTGTTTTTCCAGATTCGATAAATAGCATACAGGCTTCGTTGGAACTCGTGCTGTTGTGCCGCCCGCTACTACCCAGCCGAGACGCGTCTTTTGCAAATACAAGTCGTGGCCTTCGCATGACAAGTTTATTTGTCCCACAGAAAACAGAGATAGCGTCCCCCCTGAACCGATTAATAAGTCGACAGGCCGTGGTAGATGAAATTCTGGATCCGCTAGATTAACGTTTGCAGGTATTTTTACGGCGTTGCGTGGGAAAACTTCTGCTGGAATTAATTCCGCAATAGTCGGTATTAATAAACATGTTAAGTCTTTGGAAAAATCATCGCGCGTCGATTGAATGGTGATATGCACGATGCCCTTAGATTCTGTGTTCATGGTGTTTATCGTGCCGACGGGCGTCGAATACTTAGTCACATGCGCATTTAAACATTTCGCCAAAGATTCGGTAATAAAATTCGCGGTTGCGCATGTATCTAGAAGAACTCGACATTTAATGCGATTACGCTTGTGGTCCCGAATGTAAACAATTGCGCTCGTTAGCAACTGCGGAGAGAATGAACGCGAAATCGTTGTTAAGCTCAAAGATCGGTCGCCCGACGGATATGTTAGTCAGGCAGATGTGTCATTAGCGGTCTGTGCGCTCGAAGAAACGGACTGACCAGTGGTTCCAAATTTATTAAGATGAAGCAGAGTGTTATGCCGTTTTTGGCAAATCGTACAACTCGCGAATCTACACGGCAAGTCTCGATGGGATCGCATACAATTATAACAAAGCCGGGCTTTCTTTACCGTCTCGATGCGTTTAGGTACCGACAGCTGTTTGAATTTCTCGCACATGAATAGAGGATGCCGTTTGTCTTTACACATTACGCAGTTTATTCTCGTGCGCGAGGCGCTCGACAAAAACGTTTGATTTGATGCTTGAATTCGTCTTCGCTTAGCCGAAGGTTCTCCCTTGATCTCGGATTCAAGCGTCTTGGAACGTTCGCGTCTCGAAGCGCAGACGGCGGTCTTGTACAGAAATTCGTACATTTTTTCTAATCTGGGTAGTTCATCCTTCTCTATAGAAGATTCCCACTTCTCGAGGGTTTTCTTCGGTAACTTGCTTGAGAAGATACACGACCATTTCGGGCCCAACGGACACGTTTATCGTAGCTAAAGAGGCAAGATGTTGTTGAACGTCGTCCGCAAGTTTTGTTAAACCACTCGTGGTTTCTTTCTCTAACACGGGCAAGTTGACAATTAAAGAGAGATGTCGCGTTGCTAAAATTCGTTTCACCTCATACGATCGCTCGAGAAGTTCCCAGGCTTTCGAATAACTAATACCGTCGATCTCAAGAATCCTCACCTTATTGGCGGCTTCTCCGGTTAACGCGGATTTTAAGTAGTGCATTTTGTCTACGTCTGATAAATCGGTTTGCGAGCCTATCATGTTATAAAAGGTATTCTTAAACGATAACCAATTCTCGAATTTTCCATCGAAGGTAGGCAGCGGAGCCTCGGGTAACTTAACTCGCCGTTTTTTGGTAGATGCCGTGGATTCGGCACGGTCGCTTCGAGTCTCGATGCTCGATCCTGCGGAGTTTGACACATCCGCTACATTTAAAATGTTATCAATTCTACTCGCGAGTGAGAAAAATCGCTCTTGAACGTTTACGAATTCATCTTGATGTGAATCTTGATTATCGGGATCCAATACTGTAAGCTCAATATTATGTTCTTCATATGCGTTATATACTTCGGTCAACCGAGCAATCCGTAATTTTAAGGTGGTATTATCCGGCGCGCCCTTGTCGAGGACGTTGGTTAGCTGAGTTATTTGGGATTTCAAAAAGGTCCGTCTTTGTAAAAGAACTTTGATACTATTCGACATTGTAAAAATTAGGAAATATCCTCAATTAACCCGCTCAATATGATGAATTGTAAAGAATACGTGACCGAACTGATTAATATCACCAAGTTGTTGCAGGTATCCAATGGATGCTGATAAGTCCGTCGTCGAAAGATCGCTCACTCAAAGTTTCTATATGGTTGACCTCGCTCTTCGTCCAACGCTTCCTTGTTTGATTGTTCATACCTCACAGGAGGCACCAAAATGGAATGTGAGAGGAATAAATTAATATTCCTACTGTCTTTTCGCTTATTTTACAGTTTATTTACACAAATATACACAAATATACATATATTTCGCGTACGAAATGATGCCGCGTGAACGAAACGCGGAAGGAACTCAGAGACAGCGAACTGAACTCGAAAACCCAGATAAGCACGCTAAAGCTTACGACGAACGACTCGGATCTCGAAAGACAAGCGAAACGTGGCACGATCACCGGACGACTGACTTTTTCCTCGACAGAACGCAGTTCCCCACTAATTGGGGAGCTCTTTGATTGGCGTTCTGTACACGTGACGCGCGCGTGTAACTGCGTTCTTTGATGCAACAGGTCGAAGGAATCGCTCGATCCGCGCGGACTCGAGCGTCCCTTCCTCCAAACCTTGTCTTTTGAGATGCCGACACCGAACTTCCGTTGCCATGCAGCGCGAGAACTGTATGTGTATACGTATATACACACGATCATAATGACGATGTCGTGCACGACTTTATTATTGTCTCTCTATGTAACAAATGCGATTTGTTAATTCTTTCTTCATCCGAGATCTTGGACCGATTTCTAGCATCGTGGACACAAGGCTTAACAACATTCGGTGCATTATGAACTCTGTCAGCTGTATTTTAAAATTAATTTAAATAAGATTTAAAAACCTGCACTAACCGCTCAGTTAACGGTTGTCGTTCTTAATGCACCCTGCGGGTCTTCATCGTTATCACATACGGATTATTATATATAATATAACTATATATATACAAAACAAATCAATACATTTCTGAATAATCAACTTCTTACATTTTACTGATTACATATTATTGCTTATAAGATTACAAGTCTTCAGCATTCCCACTTGCACATTTTTATAATGTAACTCCATACTAATTCATATTATGCAATAACTTTCATTTTTTAGTCATTAAATTTGCAGTGATAAGATGTAGCAATTTCTACCATTTTCATGTATGTATCTTTTGGTGTGTAAAATACCTATTAAACTTTCAGTACTTAACCGATTTCTTACTTTTGTTTTATTTAAATTTATAATACTGAATATTCTTTCCACGCAAGCACTGCTATGTGGTAAGCATAATATATCAAATACAAATTGTGTTATTACAGGAAAAGCACTAGTATTATCACCTTTTTTTAGATTACCTACTTCCCTCCAAAATTTCAAAATTTCTTGATTTTTATTTACAGGTCTGTTCGTTATTGCTGAACTAGTTCATCTTGCACTAGTTCATCTTTCTTCCTTTTTTCTCCAGGAGAAAGGAAAAGGAAAAAAAATGAACTGGTGCAAAAGTTCAGCAATAAAGAACAGACCTTACATTACTATTATGGAGGAGTACTATGAATGAAGCCTTCCATTTTTGTTCTCACTATTCTTTCAGAAAACGCAACTCGATTGGTTTATGCTAATATGGTCCAATGAGAAACTGGGTATCAATCATGAAACTTTTTCCCTAGGATGAAAAGTGAAAAGTGAAAAATTTCTCCATTAATTTCAATGATAAAAATTTTCACTTTTCACTTTTCATCTTAGGGAAAAAGTTTCATGATCGATACCCTAAAAACAAGATCAATAAGGGTGCAAACCCATGCAGCGGAATAGCAGAACGCGGAACGAGAGCGGAACCAATCACGAGCGTTCACGTTTCTCAACCATTTTTAGGTTAGGAAATCTGTCGTCATTAATAGTGAGTAATAACTAATAATCACGAGTGATCACGTTTCTCAAGCATTTTTTGATTAGGAAATCTGTCATTAATAGTGAGTAATAACTAATAATTTATCTCTGTACTCACCACGTTGTTATTCCGCTAGTTTTGTTACGTTGAAACGTGAACCCTTAATACCCATGTAGCGTAATAAGCGCAACGCAAACTTTGCGCAACCAATCATAAATCGTTATTTCATAAAGGTTACAATCACATTAAAACTAATTTCATAAATTTTAACATCTTTAAATATTTTTTCCAATGAGAAATGCATTTAATTCTGTATTTATGGCGAATTCGATTGGATTGCACCAGTGCAGTGTGATTGCACCAGTTCATCTTTTTTCCTTTTCTCTTCTCCTGGAAAGAAAAGGAAGAAAGATGAACTCAGTGCGCACTAGTGCATCCAATCGAATTCGCCATTAGATACTTGATAATAAAAAATGAATGATAAATACAATATTTAAACGTTATTTACGAACTTGCTGATAATTCCGCTTACGCTCATTGCGCTCTATGGAGATCAAGGGATTTGCAACCGCGTAATGAAAACTGCGGAACGCTCGTGATTGGTTCCGCTCTTATTCTGCGTTCCGTTATTCCGCTGCATGGGTTTGACATAAAAATTCACTAAATAAAGAAAGTAATTCACAATCATCAAAAGACCTTAAAAATCACTAAAATAATGAAAATTAACTAAAAACGGCAACATTGCATGCAGTGTGTTGTTATATGGGCTCCCGTTTTCGCGCATGCGCATTAAATGCAGTATCATTGCCGTACTTAACTCGAGCAAAATAGGGCGCTCTATAACTCCGGTATTATTTTTGAAAGATATTCATAAATTTCCAGAAAACTAATTAACAAATGAAATAAAAGTGTAATATTATACAATATATGCAAATATAAATTCTTTAAAAGTATCTTTGTCTAAACATGAATATTTAAATACGCGAACTTTTTGTTTCTTAATATAGCTCCATATTTGTGATATTCAGATCCATAATACAAAATCGTTTAGTAATTGTACGAATTATATTTGATTAACTTTCTTATCTATTACATATTTACTCCTAATATTAAAAATTCTCTTTTTTCGAAATGATATAAAGGCAAAAAGGAAGGATGGAAAAAATACACTTTTTTCAGCGTTTAACAGAACAATCATAATTATATCTATTATGTATTATATATACATGTATACATATATACACATACATATATGCTTGTGTATAGTTATATATATGATTATATATATATATGTATCTCTTTTTTATGCTGCTTATATTTTATATATATCTACATACAATACACATGTATATTTACTATTACACCTAAAGTTTTGTTCCACAAGGAATGATATGTATGTAACGTAACTCCTAAAGGAGCACGAGGCAACTTTCGTTCATAAATACATATACAATTCGTATATCAGGTATTTTATTCGCATATTCTTTAAAAAGCCGAGAGAAAAACGGCTCATCTTCACTTTAATCTCATCAAAAAATATATTATTAAACAAAATACGATAAAAGTGTTAGAAAGCCATTTCCCACGTAGCACACCAGCGCGTGTAAACCGCTTTCGAAGTGCTGTTCAGATTGCACCTTCCAACATTGCACTTTTATTGCATGCAGATAACTCGGCTAATTTCAAGTCATATTACAGACACTGTTATACGACATGAAAAGTGCAGTAAATGTGCTATAAAACTGTATTTATTCTGCGCTGGTTATATATGCACTTATAATGCGCTTTTCATAGTGGATTTTGAAAGCACTTTTTAAGCGCTAGTGTACTACGTGGGTTTGTGTATATGCGTACACATAAAGCAGCTGTAACATATTTATATACATATATTTTTATACGTACAAATGTGTGTGTGCGTGCGCGCGAGTACGCACACCTACACGCACGCACATATACAGTGTGTTTCATTTTAATCGCCTCAGACAAATATTTCGAAAAATGTGGAAGATACGAAAAAATTTTTCAGACAAAAGTTGTATAGTTTCGAGGAGGACATAAGATCATTAATTTGAATAATTGTATGAAGGTCACATTTAATTTTTTAAATGAAACATCCTATTTTTTATTTTATTTTTTTGTAGATTACCTCGAGAGAGAAGTTTTCCAAAAAACACTATAATAAAATACTTTTTCATGAAGTACTTTTCGAGTTATAACGTTTATAAAAATTATAAATTTATTTTTATACGTAAAAATGAAGAGTTACAACTTTTATTGGCCTTGATCTTGACAAATGTTATCAAGACCATGATCCTGAACAACATTCAAGAAGTTTTAATCGTCCATTGGACACCTTGGGTAATGTTAATGCCAGCGGTACAGTAACTTTCAAGTGTTATAACTCAAAAAGTACTTAATAAAAAAATATTTTATTATAGCGTTTTGGAAAACTCTCGAAGTAATCTACAAGAAAATAAAATAAAAAATAGGAGGTTTCATTTAAAAATTAAAAGTGACTTTCATACAATTATTCAAGGTCAAATTAATGACACTGCCTTATGTTCCCCTCAAAACTATACAACTTTTGTCTGAAACATTTTTTCGTATCCTTCACATTTTTCGAGATATTTGCCAGAGGCGATTAAAATAAAACACTGTATATATGTATGCATACATACACATTAAATAGCAGAAAGCAAAATTTCTTTTTCGCAGTAATGTGAAGCATCGGTAAATGTACATACAACTACGTACTACATTTGTCCGTTAAATAACAGTTGTTAATAATAGTGTAACCAGCGTTCTGCTATCATGTTGTTCGTTATAATTTACCTGTATTGAGCGTTTTCTGTCTTGCGATTAAATTCAATCTTAACATTGGACTTAACAAAAAAGGACACTTAGGCTATACGTAGGATATGTATTGTAGCCATAGCAATTTCTTGAGGAGAGCAACCAATAATTTAATTAATTATATTAACAATTTACTCCTTCGATATGTTTCTTTGATCTATTTAAAAGAAAATGCGAAAGATAAAGAGACATCTAAAGAATAATTTTCATTTTGACTCACTTGAAAATCTTGAATGATAACATTAGAATGACGATTACAATTGATTCGATCGAGATTAAGTTAAAAGAATAGTTTTATACATTTTGTATGTTCGTAATTGTTGATAAAATTCTGAAAAGTATTTCGTTTCTGATATCGTATTAGCGTTTCTGATATCGTGCATAAATAGATACATGTACACATACACACATATATACAGGATGTCTCGCGAGATTTATCTAATCTCGCACAGGAAGATAGATAGAATCGAAATAGATACAGAAGTCCTATACTGTTTAGCGATTCTTGCAATATTAATACCGATATTATTTTTTGAAATTGTACTAATGAGAGCGCAGTTTGAGAAACATTCCGACCGCTTGAAGTATAGTCCGGTCCACTTTTTTAAACATGGGCTGCGGTAACAGCGTGTTAGAGAGGCGAGAGGAGAAGCGCGCCGTTGTGTGGGACACCCTGTGTGTGTGTGTGTGTGTGTGTGTGTGTGTGTGTGTG